TTTTTTTTTTAATTTTTTCTCTAAATTAAGCATTTAAAGACAATTTCTATATCTATCTACAATACCTTTAAAAAATAAATAAAAGATAAAAAAATAGTTTTTATAATTGGATGATTAGTTAAAATAAATAAATAATGATAAGAACATAGGAAAAAATATATATATCTACCTTAAATAATAAAAAGTGATGATAAATTAATTTAAGAGAAATTTAAAATAAAAAATACTCATTTATATTAATAATTTCTTAATATTTAAATTAATTAAAATTTTTTGATTAAAAATTTATTATAAAATTAAATAATTAATATGAAAGACATAAAAATAATGCCGTGTAACGCATGGGTTAAAAAAACCTAGTTTTTATATGTAATTTTTTCTTCTCCGTAAGTTACTAGTTATTTAATTACATTTACAGTTAAAAAATTTGGTATGAATCTTAATTATCTTAGAGCTGATATTGACATCCCTCATTAACAAAAAGGAAAACAAACCAAAGCACATCTCGATGCTCTCAACCTCAGTCATGTTCTAATTTACTGATGAATGTCATGAGAGGGGATGCGAGGATGGCTTATGTACCCTTTTAACCTTATTTGTAGATGAATTTTCTGTTTTGCAATTGGGATTGCGTCGAACCATAAAACAAGAGCTATTAGATGGGGAGGACTACAGATATCAATGGCCAATCTCTCTTTCTGTTGTACTTATGATTTTGACGATTACAAAACACATTTGAGTAACTAATTGATTTATTTAAGTGTATAGTTAAATTCCCAATATACTGTAAAGTAAGCAAAATGAGATTGCATTAAAAAGGGCTCAAAGGGTAAAAATGTGCAGAGAGCCGGCTTAAGAAAATTACAACCGGCTCTGGGAAGGAAAAATGCAGAGAACCGGCTGCAAATTTTGTTGAGCCGGCTCTGCAAGCAAAAATTTGAAGACCGTTGTTTGGCGTGCACGGAGAAAAGACGTAAAACCGGCTCCAACTTTGCAGCCGGCTGTGAGGGTACATTTAATGCACAACGGTCGAGTTATTTGAAAATTATTTAATATATTTAAAGTTGGAATCCTAAAGCCGGTTCTAGGCTTTGCAGCCGGCTCTGGAAGAAAATAGAATGTGTAGGAAATCCGCAGAGCCGGCTTCAGAAATGGTGAGCCGGCTCTAGGAAGTTAATTCGGTTCTCCTGACAATCCTGCAACTCGAGCTTTGTGTCCTGCAGGGCATTTAATGACCCCCAACGGCTAGAAACAGCTATTTTCGAGTAAGGGGCTATAAATATGATTGGTAACAGATCTAAAGAGGGTTAGAGAGCATTGTATTGAATATCTTTATCTACCAACTTGTGCTTTAACTTGAGATTTTGATCTTTGAGAGATCTTTATTTGTAATCCTCTTCTTGTTCTATTTGTGAGTAATCTTGGAGGTGTGATTATTCCTTCAAGAGTGATTTGTAGAGAGAATTGTTTGGGTTTATCTAGTAAAGGGGTGAGATTTGAGAGAAACACCATTTTTCTTGTAAACGGATTGAGTGGCTTCTTTAAGCCACCCTTGTTGTTGTTAGTGGAGAGTGTGGAGGAAATCCTTGGTGAGTGTGGAGGAAATCCTTGGTGAGTGAAGCCAAGGTAGAGGACTAGGCTCCAAGTGGTTGGACCGAACCTCTATAAATCATTAAGCAAGCTCTTCTACTCTACTCTCTTTAATTTTGGTTTTGTGATTGCAAAAAGGGGAGAATTTTTGGAACTCCAATTCACCCCCCCTCTTGGAGTACATTGAGTCAACACTTTCAACATTAAATGTTGTATAGTTTGATGCTGTTTAAATTATACAATAATTTTATTTTTTTGTATTAATCTATCATTAAAGAAATAAATTGTTATGGGTTATTGTTTTCTCAAAAATCCTTAAGTAGCTTCGCATGTGCGGAATCTGGATACAGGCATGCCACTTACTTTTTTGAAAAGCAAGAAAAAAAGGATTTTCCCGACGACCCTATCCTTTCACGTGGTCGACCTTCATTAGGATGATTGGAAGAACATTGGTTTAAGATTGAGTTTTGTGCCTTCAAACAATTGGCAAGAGGGAGGGATGCCTTCCTGCATAATGGGTTGCTAATTCGCCTTGAACAATCTCAAGAACATTACCAATACCGTGAATTTAAGTTCATAGATCCAAAATGAATTGAATGAAATGCAAATTAGAATAAACATGATGTTTATTGCACGAAAAGAAATCAAAGAAGCAATTACACAAACTAATTTGGATACTTTGAATGCTGAAAACAACTTAAATCTACTAATACATGAAAGTTAAGACGAGCAATCACTACAAAACTAAAGAATTGAAAAATTGATGAGTTTCTGTGTAGGGCTGGCCATGTTCATTGAAAAATCAAAAAGCTTCTATTTGTATCCTTCCTACAAACTGTCTCTTAGCTAATCATATCACGGATAACTTCCTCCCAAATTATAGGGATTTCTGTTCCTTTTAAATTCAAGCTACAACAAACCAGATAACCTTTATCCTCCCAACCAACTTTATAGATACGCATCCCTTTCGTGAATTTGATCTCACCTTATCCATTGACATGTGGCATCACTTAAAAAATGCAATTTATGGTGTAAACAATGCCCCCCCAAGACTTGATTTTATGAAAATAAATTCAAGTGTTTATAATTAAATAAATTGCATGCAAACTCCAATCACCAATGCCACATGTTAAACAACTCTAAGGTCTGAAAGAAGAGATCTCAAACCTTGAAGCCAAGCTTGCAGAACTAAACAAATAGATTCCCTTTACAAAATAGATAGAAAAGAGCTTGACAGAACAACATAGCAAACTTCCCACAAATATAAAGGTAGACTTGAATGTAGCTTCCAAAATCAAATATCAGTTTTCCTCTCTCATAGCCGTTGTTGCATACTTGATTTAAAGCAGGTTGAAATCTGACACAACCATAATTTAATTGCTATGATTGCTCACGGCCAAATTTGGCCAGCTTACGAATTCAAATCAGCACTTTTATTAAAATCCAAAAAATTCTAAATTGAAAAAAGAAAATACTATACAATTTCACCCAAAACTGACTCAACTAGAATTCGAAATATCCAGATTTACCTCCTCCAATGAATCTTGTACTTTTTCAGATTATCAAGTTTGGCTGGAGCTAGATCTAACTCCTCCAGAGTAACCTCATATGTCAAATCTCCCTTTTCACCTTCGTGAACCACCTCAGATTTGTCTACACTAATTTGTTTTTCTACAAGATAGGTCGTTAATTTCCTTTTGATTTCTTCCATGGTCTCCTTTTTTTGGTAATTGATTCGTTGTCTCTTCATGGAATTTCTTCAATTTCTAGCTCTTCCCTCGACCTAAAAGGAACGATTGTTGTAGGCTGAAGGAGTTCATCGTAGACCTTCTTCACTATGCATTTAGTAAGTGTTGATCTGGTACTAGTAGTGATTCCTACTGGTCTGCCATTACGGTCCATCCTAAAGAAGCGAATGGTCCCAATTTCTTCATCATAGTAATGAGCTTCCACTGAATTGGTGTTAGGCATAAAAGGTTTATCATCAACTTTCACAACCTCAATTTTGCCATCATTCTAGAATATCAATTTCTGGTGCAAAGTTGAAGGAACACACCAACTAGAATGGATCCAATCTCTCCCAAGTAATGCACTATAAGTGGCTATAGTGTCAACCATAAAGAATGCACACATGAGAGTTAAGTTTCCCATAGTAAGCTCGACTGGCAAAATTCCTCTTAAGCAATTTACTCCACTTGTGAAGTCGTTGATTGTCACTTCTATCTCCATCAGATCTTTCAAAGATTTGCCAATTTTGTGTAACATACAAGTTGGCAAAATGTTGATAGCAGCACCATTGTCCACCAGAACTTTGATTAATTGGCATCCCATCCATGTGAGCATGAATGTATAATGGCCTTATATGTTTGGCCATCCTCTTTTCTGGCTTCTCAAAAATAATTTTATCTATTGAAATCTCATTTTCATCCTCCTTTGCTGGGATCTCAATAATTCCTTTCTCATCCTGATTTGCTTGTTGATAATCTGCAGATTCTGGTTCTCTTTTAGCTTGGAAGACTAGAGAAAGGGTAAGCACCAAACAAGACAAATTCATAGAAAACTCACCAAATTGGATGCTTTTTTGCTTTGTTGAATTTTCTGCTTCTTCTATCACCTTGAATGTTGTTTTCAAGTCAATTTCCTCACTTGTCTCCACAGTTAGAACTTAGGGAGAAGTAGGACTTCTGGGTTGTTTTTCATCTTCTGGTAATGTCTGACTTAATACCACACCTTTGTCTTTTGGGTCCCATACTGATTTCATTCTCGTTGGGAGCGACTGAGCCAGATTTGCCATGCCCCCCGAGTTCTCCATTTGCTGTCGGCACCTCTCTTTTACTCTTTTACGTTGTAAGCGTTGCCTCAAAGTTCTAGGATTATGAGCTTTAGGGAACTTAGGATGAACCACTCGTTCCCATTTCTGGCTAAGAGATCTGTGCTGCGGTTTCACCATTCTGGGTCGTTTTACATAGCCAAACTTCTAACTTTGACCAGTATTTCGTTGCTTCAAATTATGCCCCCCGTGCCTTCTTCCTCGTGGAGGATCTGAACTAGCATGATTTTTGTGATTTCTAGCCTCCTTAATGACCCATCTCAAGTCATCAGTTGCTAGTTTGCACCTAGAGTGTGATTGATTTTTGTCCTTAATAAGGCTTCAGAAATCTACCACGTTCACTCTAATAGACAAGTTCAGGAATGGGTCTGCATCAACTCCCATTGTTTCTTTAGCCTTTTTTTGGAAACTGCAAAATCCCTCTGTCAATCTTTTCTTGCAGTTGTTGTTGATTTCCTAGATCTGCCACATGTGGTGTAACCTTTACTCATTATGGCTGCACTGGCCCACCAACTGCTAGTTGTTTTTGTGGAAGCAGATGTGGTTGATTGACTTGCTCCCCGAGCGCTGGAGCCGGTGGATTCTAGATCTGCCTATAAGGATCTGCTGCCTGAGTTGGTAGTGGTACTTTTGGTTTGAACTGATGCACTTGTTCAACCACTTGATCTGAAATAGCCTATAATGTTTTGTGGCTTTCATCCCCAGTTTCTCGCACTACTCTAATACCTTCTCAAAATTCCATCTCAGTTCAATCATATATTGTCTTATTGCTTCTTCCTGATGTTTGGAAGATTTTGCTTGACTCTTGACGAGTTTTTGCATAGCCTGGGTCTGCTCTCTGCTTGCTAACTCCAGACGTTCAATCAAACTTCCGATCATATTACTTAATTCAGCAAAGTCACCCCATGATCTGTCTCTTTCTCCTTGAATATTGGATTTCCATATGACCGTTCTGCCAGAGGTGACACTGGGAGAAAAGTAACGGGATCATTTTCACCCTCAGAGTGGAGTGGATTGTCATATGCATGTTCAGCTTGGGTGGTTAAGCCTCTTTATCCCTGTTCTTGTTTTTGGGTGGCATAGCTGCGCCTCTTCTTAGATACAAAAAAGTGGATCTAAAAACTATAAGTGAGACATGATGAAGTCCCACTGGGCATGCCACAAAAGGATTGTTTCCTCAAAAATCCTCAAATGGTGTCACACGTGCAGAATTTGGATGTGAGCGTGCCACTTACTTTTCTGAAAGGCAAGAAAAAAAGGATTTTCCCAACAACCCTCTCCTTCCACGCGGTCGACCTCCGTTAGAATGGCTGGAAGAACATTGGTTTAAGATTAAGTTTTGTGCCCTTCAAACGATTTGTAAGAGGGAAGGATGCCTTCCTGCATAATGGATTGCTAATTTGCCTTGGACAATCTCAAGAACTTTATCAATACCATGAATTTAAGTTAATAGATCCAAAATGAACTGAATGAAATGCAAATTAGAGTAAACGTGATGTTTATTGCACGAAAAGAAATCAAAGAAGCAATTACACAAACTAATTGGGGTACTTGAATGCTGAAAACAATTTAAATCTACCGAAATCTGTGCTAAGACTGAAATGTGAAAGTTAAGATGAGCAAATACTATGAAACTAAAGAATTGAAAAATTGATGAGTTTCTATGTAGGGTTGGCCATGTCAGTTGAAAAATCAAAAAGCTTCTATTTGTATCCTTCCTGTAAACTATCTTTTGGCTGATTAGATCACGGATAACTTTTTCTCAAATTCTAGGGATTTTTGTTTTTTTTTTTAAATTTAAGCTGCAACAAACTAGATAACCTTTATCCTCCAAACCAATTTTACAATCAGTGGATTTGATCTCACCTTATCCATTGACATGTAGCATCACTTAAAAAATGTAATTTATGGTGTAAACAATTATAAAAAAATTTTGCTGATAAAATAAAAAGAGAATCACTTTGGCTGAACTCAAAACAAGTGTTGTACGTATCAAGCTACAAAGGCATCATCACTCTGAACTAAATTAGGAAGGCATCAACCTCACCCTAGGGTAATGCTGAACTCAAAACGGGGAAAGGAACGACTTTGGGTGCGATCTGGAAGGCATCTGGTGGACTGGTGAAGAGATGAACTCAAAATGGAAAAAAGCAAAGGCTTTGGGTGCATGCGATCGAGAAGGCATCTCTAATCTGGTGGACTGTAGATGAGAGACAGCGAGGAAACGGTGGGAG